GCTCTTTGTTGTGCAGATCAGGCAGGATTCCTTCCCTGGTGGTGTCAGATGGCAAGCAGGGAGGGGTAGAAATCTTTCTTGTTGTTTAGCAATGAGATCTTCAAGAGAGATTTCCACACCTCCTTGCTTGCCATCTGACACCACCAGGGAAGGAATCCTGCCAGCCAGATGAATGTTGTGAACAGAGATGCGAGGAAAGCTCTCATTCTCCAATTGTTGTGAAGCTATAAAGCTAAATGTTGTACAGTGTAGTAACTGGTCAAAAGGACTTTGTGGCTAAGTACAGATGGTCAAAAAACCCAAGGCTGAATCAATTCAGTCTTTGCCGGTTAGTCTAAGCTGGGTAGATTGAACCGACAAGCAAGTGAACAGACATTCACTTGTGATTCTAGAAATGCAGCCACATGTTTGCAGTCACCCAGGCTAAAAGCCAGGGGATGCTAGAACATGCCTCCATGCTTGGGTGGAGCAGACAGCTTGGGCCAAGGCTAGCCTGCACACCCTGCAAGGGGGATTTGTGGGGGAGGTGCAAAGCATCCTGGGATTCTGGGGGACTGTGAGTTAAATTAATCTAGAGGGGATCTGGGACAGAAGCTCAACAATCCAATTTAACACAAATCAACTAAGTCTGATATTACATCCATACAGGTTTATCTTAAACTGGTTTCAGCCATTTTGAGCATGGTTTGTGTGTGCTGAACTTCTGTTGTGTTACAGATTTGAATGGTTTCTGATTACTTATACCAGGTTATGTGCAACTTCTGTCTCCAGTCTGTGTGGCTCTGAATTTCATGTTGTGGCATGTCTCTGTACCAAATCAGTTGGTAATGTGCAGTAAGCTTTGATCTTGAAAAAGTTTTGATGTCTGATTTTCTGTGTGTACTGTGATTACCTCCACTGAAGTTAATGTGAGTAGTCACCGTGCATGAAGTGAGATAAGCCCTGCATTGAACAGTTCTAAAGGCCAGCAGGCATTTTCAGAGTTAAATTTTTGTACCAGTAAGTGAAGTAGGAAAGTTATGAACAGAAAGGACACACTGCAAATAAAATAGCAATACGTGTTCTTACCAATCATACTGTACCTCATAGGAAAAGGAAACTTTCAGGTTACCCACTCTCTATAGATCGAAAGCTCAAAACTGTTTAATCTTTTCTCTCTCTCATGTTGTTTCCCATGTTGATCCCAGAGCATAGAAAGTGTCAGTTAAAACCTTTTTGCTCAACAAAAAATACAAACCAAAAAAACAAAACAAAACACACAACGCAGACTTGTGTGAATGAAAATCTACATTCTTACTTGGTGTGTGCAGCTTAGCATGGCGTGCCACATTGCTTGAAGTCAATAAAGCTAGCTTATGCCGGCTGATGAACTTCCCTAAGGATGTTAATACTTCTGGAATAGTTTCTGTTAGAATTAAACAAAAAAATTATTCTTAAGCTAACCAAGTTTTTATTTGGGCATAACTGTATGGCTTAAATGACTTTTCTAAAAAAACCCAAAGCAAATAGGGTCAATAGGAGTATTTCCAGCCTGTTTCCAGACTTGAGACAATTTCTCTCTGGATGGATTCCCAGAAAACAAGGTCCAGTCATCTGACCTGTGGGGCTTCATAATGGGTTTGGAAATTTGGTGTTTTGGGAACTGAGGCAGCCCATTGCCCCACTGCTAAATTTCTAGACCTGTGTAGAGCCCCACAGGCCAGATTCAATGCACAGGCCAGAGGTTGTGCATCACCACTCTATACCAAAGATAATTGTGCCCAGAATGTATTGCCCAAAGCACACAAAATGGATCCAGATCATGCCGGGACAAGAAATGTAAAACCTGCCAACATATCTCCACCATCCCCACAATTACTGCACCCCACAACAGAACCATCAGCATTCCTGGATCTTACATCTGCACCTCCAGAAATGTAATACGTCTCATCTAGTGCACTAAATGCTTTGATGGAAAATATGTAGGAGAAAAAAACAACTGCCTACCAGAATGAACACACACCCAAAATCTATCAAAGGCAAAAATACCCAATTACCTGTGAGTGCACATTTCACACAAGACAACCACTCTCTCTCCAGTCTCTCAGTTCTAATCCTTAAAGGGAATTTAGGAAACATCTTTTGTAGACAAGCCTAAGATCTTCATTTCATTAATCTATTGGACACAAAAAATCATGGACTAAATATAGACATTGTATTTATGGCACTTTATAACCTGCCTGTCATCCCATAATCCCAGGTACTCTCTACATTTTACCTGCTACATTCTATCACCAGGTCAACATTTCCCCCTCTCCCCACATCTACCTGTTTCACACCTATTGTCTCCCATGGCCTCTGATCCTCAGTGCCATGCATTTGCATTTTTACAGACCTACACTTTTGCATATTGGCTTCTATTCCATCCAGGATAGCACAAAACAACAGCAGACACTCCCTATGCCTATACCTGAAGAAGGCTGTTTGTGCCTGAAAGTTTGCAACAATTTTTCCAACTATTTAGTTGGTCTAATAAAAAGATACCACATTTAACCAAAGAACCTTGCCTGCCAGAGACCGTGGAGAACTAACCAGCTCCATCATTAACTAGAGATCAAGCTGATCTAACTGCTCCTGTATCCTGTCTTTCTCCAGCTTTTTTTCTCCTTTATATTTACCTTCGTCTCAAAATTAACCCAAGAAAGTAAACTTACACTGTGCAGACCTAGATTCTAGTAATGTAGGAAGGTGGATTTGTACTCATCTTCACAACAGTTCATATCTAGATTCAGTCTCAGCTTTGGTATGACAAACCAGGCATAACATTACTATTCTATATTTCCATCATATTCTTTCCCTGTCAGTCTTTACCATAGTCATAAGAGCTTTCCCTTTACATTGTATAAATTACATAGGCTTTCTGAGTTTCATCTGCCTCTGTGAGGAGGCAAATTATCTAATCAGAGGCTGAAAACTTACCATCTCTTGCAGCTGTACGTTATTTTCTACTCAGCTGTGGCTTGTTGGCCAACTTAGCGAATGGTTGGCATGCATTGGACTATGTGCTGCCTTCAGACCCTCAAGTACAGCAGAATCTCCATCAAGAAGAACTGGAGATCTTGATGTCACCTTAGAGGTTTGGGCAAAAAAGTCCTAGGCTGCTATTCATATGACAATATTCAGTAAATGTGAGCCCTCCTCTGAGGCTGAAATTAGAATCACAACTATGTAACTTCCTGGTTTAGGGTTCCTATTCCTTTCATCTGTAAAATACCAGCATTTGCAAATGCAGTTAAATCATGATAATAACTCAGAGCTAGAGATATAGTTATACAAATGATTCCACCTCAAAGTTTTCATTTGAAACTGCTGTGCTCATCGTTTTAATACAATACAGAGCACACTATTAAATTACTACGGCTTTCTAAGAATTTTGAATGTGAAAATTCTATGAACCGGGAGTCTTACTTGTCACTTCTGATTTTTTCCTGACTCTTCATAGCTGTGTTATCTTAATCCCTTGCAAATTCTCCTAAAGCTGTGAATACAGGATTTGGGGTGAGTACAGGGCTGGATGGAGGATTTAGCTGTGGTGGCTGTTGGGGGGGTTGGCGGGGGAAAGATTCAGTGCCTGTTCCCAGTCTTGTTCACTCCAACCACCACTTTGGGCAGACCCTGCTGCCAGAGCCTTTTAAAGTCCCCAAAGCATTTAAGAATCCCCCTTCCTTTCCCTTCTGTGCTCAAAGGCTCACCCTCTCTTCTCCCCCATTTGCCACTACTGCTTTCCTCTCAGTCCTGGGTGAAGGGAAAGCTTCAAAGCCTGTCCTGCCTCCTTCAGCCAGGCTATGCAGAGGCTGGGCTCAGCTGAGCACAGTGGCAGCAGCAGTGCGTGGGGTGGTTCTCTCTCACCCCCATGACTGCTTTTGGGGGACTAGGCAGAGTGGGGGAAACCAACCCCCATCCATCATGGCTGCTGCCACTGTCACTGTTCCCAGTTGAGTCCAGTCCTTACTCAGCCCAGATGGAGAGGGCAGAAGTAGCTATGAAGCTTCCCCTGGCCCCATGCCAAACAGTGAGGAAAGCAGAAGCAGTAGGTGTGGGAGGGAGGCAAGGGAAGAGGAGAGAGTACCTTTGAGCATGGGGGGGAAGGGGAGATTCTTATATACTTTGGGGACTTTGAAAAAGTCCCCAGAGGCTACCACAGTGCAGCGCGGTCCAAATGGGGGGTGGGGGGGATAGTTGCACCATTGTACCCCCTCTGTATCCACCCATGGGTGAGAAACTGTTACATTTCTGCATGTGAGAACCAAGCTGAATATGCAACCAGTGGTTAGCTAGATATCTGCATCCCACATTTGGCAGGAGTCTTGCTAGTTTCACATCTATGTTTACTTGGTCGATGAAGAAATCAAGATGTCATAAACAAAGTTTATCTCTGTTTTTCAGACAACCAAATACTCCCAATATAATGTAACATGCTCACTGGATATACAAATATACTATCTTTTTTATCTCAAGAGGCAGTTTTATACCCTTTCTTAATAGCCCTGGTTTATATAGAGCTTTGGGAAGTTTAAGTGATAATTTATATTTCCCTAATTCTGCACAGCAGGGGAAAGTAGTACAAGTTCAACACACTATGGTTAGTAAATGAAGCAACTTCATCAGGTACTGCTAACGTTCTCACTTGGTAGTGACCACTATGCCAACAGAAAAGCCTGATTCAAGGAATGTGGACTCAAAAGAAGTATTACCTTTGATTTCTTTGGGAGCAGGATCACTCAAAATAAACCAGAGGAAGATTTAATTGGTCAAAGCTGGTAACATTTTGCATTGTTGCCAGCAAAGCTCAAAATGGGTGTTGCCAAGGCAGACAGCATTTATCATGTTTAAGTTTGCAATTGTGGGCATATCCCACAAGACCCAGTCTATTCAGTGGCTGTGTATCTTAGGTGAGTCACTGAACACCAACTATTATGCTTGCTACAATAACTCATTTAAGTTATTGCTCATTTGTGTGGATTTCACAAGGGCCAGTATCAAGATGGATGCCTTACCCCTTTCTGGTGAAATCATAACTAGTCTTGGCATTCTAGGAGACCCAGCATAGAAGAGAAGTGGATCCAGTGTAGTGTCAGGGGAAAACACAATTGGAAAAACTCACTGATCCCCATTCACATCTTTAAAATTTAGCAGCAGTTTGGCATTGTTACTTCCTTCAGCTCTCCACCATGGATGGGATGATATGGCTTAATCTGGGACATAGTGATACAATAATAAGTGCCAGTTCAGGCAAGTCACTTTGTTGCCTACTGTCTTGCACCACAGCTAGTGACTTTCTTAGCTCTTATTTAAAATTTTTAACATCAGCAGGACAAAAATAAGAAGAATCATCTTACTATCGAACTTTCTCCAGACCAAACAATCGGGCACACAGAGGAAAGGGGTGACTTGATTTGCTTATTCCTAGCAGTTTAGGGTCTACTGCATGATTTGGAGCCCTATAAACTGCAAGGTTAATGCAAAACCATATGCATTTTCAGTTTTAAAAGTCCCCAAGCTTTAGAAGGGCTTAGGGCTCAATTCACAAAGGAATTTAAGCACCTGAAGAGGTACTTAGGCATGTCAATTCAGGATTTATGCATTGTTGCCGTGTGGGGTCAGGCCAACACTCAGGATCTCAATATCACACTGTTAGACAGGAGGGCATGGTGTACAATTGCACATGCACACACTCAAAAAAAAATCAATTAGGTGTATACCCACACACTAGGTGCATATGCCCCCACCAAGCGTGCACACACACATGCACTACCAACTCAGGCACATACACATCCAAAATTACTAGCCTAGGCACATGCACACCTATCACCAATTCAAGCACCTACACAGTATACACACCAAAAGTTAGACAACAATCAATTGTCAATACCCACATACACAGTACACATACAGGGATTACTAATTTGTATCTTATGCACACCATGACACATGCATGTTCCTAACTTGGATGGTATGGGGGGTGTGTGTGTGTGCGCGCGCACGGGCATGCTTGGGGTACCTGGGATACTTGGGGGAAGGTTAAGGTGAGAGAGAGAGAGAGAGTTAAAGTGTAGGGAGTGAAAGTTGCCAGAACCAGGATTAGAACCAGTGGACTAGAAAGAAGCTGGCTGAGGAACTGAGGCTTGGGGTTACTTAAGGTCAAGTGGCCATGGGGTTACTAGGGCTCACTTGGTGCCGGGGTGGAAACAAGGGAAAAAGCCCGGTGGCAAGGAGGAAACATCCAGGAGACAGAGGCAGAAAGCTGGGAGATCAGGGGAAAAGGCAGTGGGGACAAGGCAATAACAGTGGCAGAGACCAGGGGAAAAGGCAGTGGGGATGAGACAGTGGCAAAGAAACAGGGGTTTGCAGGCAGAGAGTTGCTCAGGACAGCTGGAGCCACAGGAGCATGGGAGGTGGCAATGAGCCAGGTGTTGGAGGTGGCAGTGAGCCAGAAGCAGGAGAGGGAGAAATGAGACAGAAGTTAGAGGGGCGAGGAGCAGAGATTGGAGCAGGGCTGGAACCGTGGTAAAGGAAAACCCAACTCAGGGGTCCAAATAACATTTTTATTAAATGAACACTGTAGTGTACAGCTTGGTTCCTATACATACTCACACAAACACTCACACACACAGGTAGCAGGAGAAAGAGGTTGGAGTCCAAGTCCTTGGTTGAAGAGAGGGTGGGGGTTATAGCTACCTATCTAGGCTAGAAAGGGGTCTTTGGCCTGCAGGTGTTGTATGTCGCTGGCAGGGCCTCTGGGTGGATAGGTGGTGTGGCATGGTGCTGGTCCAGATGGAGAGGGCATCCCAAGGAGTCAGTCTTCACTACCCCTTTTTATGGGGCAGACTACCTCTGATCGCCTATGGGGAAGGCTTGTCCAGGCAAGGTCAGTCCTGTTCCAGAGGGCTCCAGGTGTTCATACTGAGCATGTGCAGCCTTGGCATAATGGTGGGTTGCCTCATCTTTTGTTTCTTGAATGCCGAGTGTGGTTCCAAGGGCTGGGTCATTGGTCCAGGTATTGGTTTTGATGGTTCGGTCATTCAGAGGGAGCTAGTTTTAGACCTACTGCCATTGTCTCTCAAGTACCCTCATTCATTCAGGAATCAAGTTACACAGGAGGGGTAGGTATGAGTCATAGGTTACACAACCAGGCATGGGGACAAGATGGAAACTTGACAAACAAAATGCAAACTTGACATGACTTATGCTAACTTAGATATGTAGGCCTAAATCATACAGTACCAGTAAAGCAGTAATATAGAACAGTAAAAATAAATATAAACATAGTAATTATACAGTATAAAGAAGGAGAAAAAACAAAATAAATACAACTTGCTACCAAAATAAAATGCTGAAGCTTATCCTATCTCTTAGCTCACTTATCTATAGGGAATAGAGAGGGAGAGAAAAAGTCAGAAATGGTTGGGGAAGGGGATGGAATGCATTTTTAAATTTAAAAAAACCCAACAAAAACTGGGGGTTTTGCTACAGCATGACTGCCATTCATAAAACCCTTAGCTAAGGGGGCTAGCAGACATGCCCCATTGCACCTCGTAGTTTGGTGGTAAGCACATTCTGAGAGATGGGAGGTAGACGGTGAGTCCTTTTTATCCCTGCTGTGCCTGACCCAGTCTCCCAAAGGAGAACTTTTGCTATTGACCATGATGGGGAATAGCTTGGTGACCCTCATATAGTTTGAGAGAGAGAGAGAGAGGTGATCTCTTTTATCAGGTAACTAACTCAAGGAGTGGGCTCTGTCCCACACAACAAGCCAGGATTCTAGCCTCCAGAGGAGGGAAAGGCTTATACCCCTCTCAGCATTTCCTGTTGGCTACAGTAGGTCCCTCTCTGCTAAGTTTGCTGTGAATCCCATTCTTGGATGCTTTGTCCATTGTGACCCACTTGGGGCTCTGAATTTCTTTGGGATCAGGATACTAAAGTTCCCTTGTGGATTTGGGACCAGACTTTTAAGTCATATAAGTGCTATTGAAATAAATATCTGGCCCTTAGTCCTCCAAGTTTACAAATGTAAGACAGTCCTTGTCACTGGTGTTTTAGCAGGTAGAATAAAAATGGTCAAATTGTCTGTCGGGAGTGAGTTCTTGTTCAAATTTTGGTGCAAAAAACTATTATCTGCTGGCTGTAAAACAAATCAAATAACCTTGTTTTACATTTTCTTCCACTGAACAAGGAAAGCTTATTACGTGATTCAAAGG